TATATTTATTTGAATTTCTATAATAGCATTCTTCATGCTCAAAAATGATTTACATATTTTATTAGACAAAAAAACACTATCTGTGTAGCATATTGTCAATGCCAATATTTTAGAATTCTATACAAAGGTAATATATAAAAAGTTTGCTTATGATAACAAATAAATTTTCACTGAGTTTCACTTCAAGTAAAAACATTTCACTATTCCTGTTTAGAAATGCGAGTAGATATATTTATACACACAAAAGTCAAGCAATACTATGGCGCCCTCTGTAAACAGCAATAACTTTGATCGTATAAAAATTCTATAGTAATAAAATTCTTGTATTTCATTAATAGTTTTATAACTTATCCTGATAGAAAACATATAATTTTTTTAATGTTTAAATATAATGCAATGTAAAGAAAAAATTATAATCATTGGACTTTATCCATCGATACATGTATAGTTTATTATTTTCATTTATTCTTTATTTAATGGAGATCAATAGTAATATTACATCAAAACGTTTTCGTCCTGATAATTCTTCTATTGACTATCATTCTACTTTATCCAACGATCTTCTTTCTTGTCCTTTTTGTACATTTAATACAAATTCTCAAGTTGATTTTGATTTTCATAATCATATTCATCATCAACATTTATGTTCTCAATGTTTACATGTATTTCCTAGTTATTTTCTTTTGGATCTTCATATGGATGAAGTACATAATAATTATTCAAGAAATCAATCATATCGTTGTTTAATTGAATCATGTTCAAAAATATTTTCTAATATTGAACAACGTTTTCAACATATAAATGATGAACATCATCATACAAAAAATCGGCATTTAAATGATATATTTCTTTTATTTTCAAATCAACAAATGAATGAAATAAAAAACAAAGAACAAGACAATAAATTTGGTTGTGATAGTCAAAAAACATTTATACGTAACTCACGATTACGACCACGACAATTTATTGAAATGCAATGGGATGGCGATGAATAATAAAAAAACTGTTTCTTTTTTTTTAAATTTTTCTAGATTATTAAACGTTTTTAACATCATCATGTCGGACACCGAGATGGACGAGACGCCACGCGCCTCGGATGAAGTCGACTTGAATAAGTCGTTACAAGAGGTGCTTAAATCAGCTGCACGTAATGATGGTCTTGCACGCGGCTTACGAGGTAATAATAATTTCACACTTTTTATTGTTCTGTTGATTGTTTTTATATACAGATTTTCTTATTTTCTATTTAAGAATCGGTCAAAGCTTTAGATCGACGTGAAGCTCATCTTTGTGTTTTAGCATCAAATTGCGATGAACAAAATTATGTTAAATTAATTGAAGCATTATGTGCTGAACATAATATCAATTTATTACGTGTTGATGATAATAAAAAATTAGGTGAATGGGCTGGTTTATGTAAATTAGATAAAGATGGTAAAGCACGAAAAGTTGTTCGTTGTAGTTGCTGTGTTGTTCGTGATTTTGGTGATGAAACACAAGCTCATGATCAATTATTGGAATACATGAAGAAAAATAAACAATCAGCATAGAAATGAATAAAAATATATGCTTTTTTTTTGTTTTCTTTTCATGTTGGTTTATATAACCAGCTAATATGTCACACCAATAAAATAAAAAGAAGAGAAAATTTAAAATATAAGCATCAAATCAAAAGTTTTCATAGATAAATATATATATGAAGAGAATTTTTGCTTTTATTTTTCTTTTGAAAATATAGAAGAAATATGTATTTTAATTTTATTCATAATATTTTCGTATTTACTAGAAAATTGAATTATGCTCAAATCAGATTAAAATTTTATTTCAAAATACAATTGAATATTATGATGTCTTTTAATAGTCTTGTACAAAAAGGCAAAAAATCTGAGTTGTACAGATCTCAGAATTAACAGAAAAGAAATTAATCATTATTAACAATTTCATTATTAACACAATACATTTCTTTACTTCGTTCAAAATTTATACGAATACATTTGTCAAGATTGTTCTATTGTGAAAGAATTTCTAGCATAAATAAGAAATTTTCAAGAAGTTGAATAAAACATTATAGACAAGATTTATTAATAAATTAAATCCCATGACCCAGAAATGTTTAATATCCGAAGTCAAACATGCCCTTATCATATAAATAACGTTGTAGAGAAACTAAATGTGTTGAACAGATTTCAAATTTCCTGAATAGTTCGTAAATTTTTAATCTATATAAAACGATAAGAATTATTTAAAGTATTTGAATCTAATGCATCTAGTAGGGTCAGATAATATGTATCCAAAGAAACTTTTTTCTTATTATGATGAAAAAATAAAAATTTCATGACTCTCATTTAAATTAACAAGGACTACTATCATGTTATATTTTATCATTAGAAATTTTTTCGGTTTATGATAAACATATGAGCTATACAGCTATTCGTTCTATTTCGATATCTATTATAGATTGCAATGAATTTTATGTTTTCTTATTTGTTGTTTATTTAAATGTATTCTTTTTTTTTCTTTGTTTTACTGTTGATATAAATGTATGTGAAGTTCAAAAACTAATAACTAAAATTTAAATCAAAACTAAAAAGTGATAACAAATGTAAAAAGACTTGCAACCACAATAATAACAATCGAAAAAAGAAAAGAAAGACAACATTCATTGTTTTTTGTTGTCTAGGGAGGAGGAATAACAGTAACATTTTGATGAATTTCTTCTAATATACTATCAGCACCCATTTGCATGAGTTTAACAGCAAGATTCGTACCACATAATTCAGCATTTTCTAATATTGTTTCATTTATATTCACACCACATACATGAGCATAATGACGAAGTAAAGGTACAACTTCAGTTGTTGTTGTCGATAGTGATGGTGAAGATGATTGTGATGTTGAAGTTGAAGGAATAGGAACATGTATAGAATTTATATTTAATTCAGTAAGTTGTTTTTTTGAATTCATTCCATTAGAATATCTATCTATTGATTGTATATCATCATCAGGTAATGAAAGATCATCATCTGAATGTGAAACAAAAAATGTTGAACCATTTTTTGTTGTTGTCGTTGATATAGTCAAATCAGAATTTTCAACACAATCTTTAACAAAACGTGATCCATCAAGATTAAGTAAAATACCATCAATTATTAATCCTTTTTCATTGTATACTGTACGTACAGCATTAGGAATACTACAACCACCACCAACTGTAAATAAAAAAAAAATAAAAATCATTAGATTATATATAATAGATTATACAGATTGTCGATAGGTTTTTCTTTAATATCTTACATATTTCTTCTAGTAATTTTTTAAGTCTATACGAAAAAAAAACAAATTTTAAAAACTCCTATTAACAAAATCTGTTTATTGATCTGATATAAAAACCCAGAAGCATTTGTGTTCTAGAATTTATTATAGCTACTATAATGTCACTCTGTCAAAGAAAGAAAAAAAAGAAGCTTGTTTTAGTCTTTAGATTCAATAATATCTACTTCGTCTTAGGAAAGCTCGTTCAGCAATACAACACACAACTGTTGGTTCATGATTGAGTACAGATAACATTCGAATCGTATCAATATCATTATGTCGACATTCAATTCCTAATGCTCCTTGTCCAATTGCATAAAGAACTCTATCAGGTTCAATTATTTCACTTATTCGATCTGTCCATTTTAATCGTTGTAAACCAGCAACAGCTGCAATCATTGCATCATATCCAAGTTCTTGATTATTTAATTTTTCCCAACGTGTATTCATATTTCCACGTATATTTTTATATATAAATTGAGGATAATTTAATTTAAGTTGTGCAATACGACGTGTTGAACTTGTACCAATAATACTACCATGTGATAATTCATTTAAAGATTTTTTATTATGCCATGGTGCAATAACAACAGCATCACGTGGATCAGCACGTTCAAGTATTGCACCAATTATCATATTTGGTGGTAAAATAGTCGATGGAACATCTTTTAAAGAATGTACAACAAATTCAATAGTGTTGCGATTAAGTTCAACTTCAAGTTCTTTAGTAAATAAACCTTTATCACCAATATTTGCAAGTGGATCTAAGAGATTTTTATCTCCAATTGTTTTGATTTTAATTATTTCATATTCAATATTTGGATAGAATTTATGAAGTTGTTCAATAACACTAGAAGTAAAATGAATAAAAACAAAAAAATTCAAAATAACACATAAAGAAAACATAAAAATCTACCTTTCAGTTTGAACAAGTGCTAATTCACTTTGTCGAGTACCAATTCTATATTTTGATCTCAATGGCACATACTGCATAATAGATATTCTATAGTAATATATATATATATATATACCTTCTGACTTTTTCAAATTTTCTATCTGAAATATAAAATCAAATATTCATTTCATACTTTCAAAAAAAAAATTAATTTTACCAAAAAAGAAAATTATTTATTATATATTTACCAATATATATAAATTTTGTAACTATTGAACCTTGTCGTTCAAGATATTATGCTAAACATATTCTAAACTTAAGTACATTTGCTAAATAATATTTCCTCTATATTCATCCGATATTTATGTGAAGAATATATCAAAGTAATTCATGAGTCTTCTTGTTATCAATAATGATTTTTCAATATAAGAGACTACTAATAAAAAAATAAAAATAAACAATCAAGTGTTATCATTCTATTAAAAATTTCAATTTTATTTTCTGATAAAAATACTCGTTCAGCTAACAATTAATTCATGATTTAAAACCGTAATCATATTAAGGTACCATGTTCAAGTGTATCATAGCCAAAGTCTTCGTTTAATACGATATTTCGAATTTGTAATTAAATTTTCACATATATATATATCATTAAATCCAAATTGCGAATACAGTTACAACAAAATAATATTGACCTTAACTTGTACTAACAAATTACTTCTATCGATAAGGAATATAATCAACATTCATCATTCCCTTGAAAATTATTTTATTAAAAGAAAAACATGCATTAAGTTCAAATTTATATGTATCTTATACGTCTAGGCGCTCCTATTTTAGTACTTATATAGCGCATTCTAAAAGTAAAGAATAATGTCTTCTATTTATTAGAATACTTTTTTTGAGTCACGAATTTGACAGAATATTGATCACTTATTTGATTATAAAATCACGTAGACCATATAAAAACTATGTTTTTTAAAGCATCAAATAATGATAAAGAAAACGTGTAAAAACGAAATTCAATTATCTATCTGCTATGAAGACGCCTAATGTTGATTATATCTTGCAAGGATTCTCTTACTATGTACTATTAAATAGAAAAGATTAGATTGTAATAAAATTAAGACAAAGAAAATGTATCATACAAAAAGAAAAGGAATTTTGTTTTTTTTAAATAGTAACATATTGATAAACGAAATTTTCATCATACCAACACGTTTTGTTTTTTTTTATATTATCAATTGGTTTATCTATAAACGATTCTAGGATGATATTCATATTATTACCACATTCGAGGCAATCGATGATTCATTCATACTAATAAACAAACAAGCTAAATCTTCTACGGTATTCAATATAGAGCGTCCTCATTTGAAACTTAGAAGGGGATGCCGCCACATATATAGGAAAAGAAAGTTGATGACTTTTCTATTATTCAATACATGAAGTAATTCAAAATTTTAATGATGAGAAAAATAATATTCTTAATTCAAATAAATATATGTCATCTCATACACTTTAATTTGCTTGATAACATTCAATTGTCTAAGTTGAAATAATTTCAACAAAGACTTATAACAAGACTATATTCTGTTTTGATTATAATATCTTGTGTAAATGATATATTTAAGAAAATAATAATTGAAGTAAACCGTAAAGATAATGTTACATACAATTCTGAACAAAAGCAGTTACTACAAACCGAAAGTGCTCCTATTCTTTATCATATTGAGCTGATATTTTAGATACATACATGCGCAACAATAAATTCTAATTGTAAACACCAATTTATCCTCCATCGATTCAAATATCAACTTTCTCTTGTGATTATCTTATCTCAACCATATTGATACAGAGATTTTTCACTCAATCGTCCTTATGTGGAAGCTCAATATTACAGCTATTGTTAGAAATCACTTTGAAATGGCTAAGAGAGTATTTTTTTCATCTAGAACGTCTATTGAACAACAGACAGTGGTTTTTTAATAAAATAGATCTTTTCTATGATGACTTTGACCAATTTATTGAAAAATTTTAGTAGAAAGCTCCCATGGGACAACGAATCTCTATTGAAAGTTTCAGAGCTACAGCACTGAACGTAGTCGAGTTAGCCTTGCGACATGGATTCCCTGTCTCAAGGTTTACTAAACACTTACAGCTTGAGTATGTATCACAAATTTTAGTGCTGATAAAATAGACATAGGAGACTGTATTTAATACTAGGACAAATAACAATAGCTTGTGGAATAGCAAAATAACAAACAAAAATTGTTTGAGTACATATTTTCACTGAATATGTTTTTCACAAGTAGAAGATGATATTTAAATCATAGCTCTATCATATGTGGACCGATAAAGAGCAGATTATTGGTCACAGTCAGCATTTATGGTCATACGCATACATTCAAAATATATGAGATCAATATCTTAAATAATAGTAATACTTTAGAGTGGTGACAGCTACTTTTGTTCGGAGCTGTACATTATCACAAAAATTAAAATTCTCTATCAGAAAACATGTATCTCTGATATAAATCAAATCTGTTCGTAATCGACGATGATTTTGTACTAATTGTCTCTTATATATTTTTGTACATTGTGACCTATTTTCTTCATAAAAATACACCTAAAGTCATAATAAATGTATTGTTTCAATACAAACAGTATTAATAAAATGACATAATCTTGGTTTCATAATAATACTTTATTAAATATCATAAGTTTCAATAGATATTCAAAAAAAGTTTTATAACCAATCTTGTTATGCTTCTCTCTCTCTCTCTTGCTAATTAAAAAGCTTTTAATTAACATTTTCGACAATAATATAATAGAATTTATGATACACGGATAAATAAATCAAATGTCAGTATATACAAAATCTGAATATATACTGAAATCTTGCAAGAATCTTATACTAAGACTCAATCTATATTTATCAGAGTATGTTATCTTTTTGTATATCTCCCATGTGATCTTTAATTGATTGGTTTTTTAAACTGAATTACTGAATCTTGATATGTTGTTGTCTGATTAATTGATTTGATTAAAAATAATATTTTCACAACTCGAAAACCCACAATCATATTCAGTACAATAAAATGTCTGTCATAATTCGACACTCAAATAATATTCAGTCTATTTTGCCATCAACAAATTGTCACTATTGAAAATCCAGTTTCATATATGTTTTTAAAAATGTAAATATAGAATTTGAGATAAAAAATTTTCCAATATTCTACCTTTTTATCTCCTATTATTCATAACTTCAATTTTTGAAGAAAAGAAAAAAGAATTTTTTTTTTTCTTCAGTCCTTTTTTTTAATGTAGCAATTAAAAACTTGAGATATAAAAAACAATAACATACTAACAAGTTAACTTGTGATCGAACACATTGAACATATATGTTTTTATAATAAATGTTAAGTTAGCTTTCAACTTATATCCGGTTTCCTAGCATGAACATGTTCACACTCGCACGAGAGAGCAATTGAATCGTTTAAATAGACGAATCAGATTAGTAGTAGTAGAAAGTAGTGTATTCATCACACAGGAAGTCAATAGAGAGTGAGCCTCAAGCAGTAACATGCATGCTACACACATACAGACATGTTTTCCTTGTATTTCCACTTCATTTGTGATAGTGCTGGTATATTATTGCACACACGTTTGTCACGGAAACTAGTATAGGTTAACTTCCGTATGAAAAGTTGTTGCATTTGATTTTAAAAGCCGCTCACTAGAATAGTTCATGCATGAAAAGTAGGCAGACGTTATTCTTCTTTTCCCTCTTCATCATCATAGAGGAACAGCATTCGCTTTTCAATGTTTCTCTTTCTCAAAAGAGAGTGAAAGAAAAAAAAACATATAGACATATACAAGTAACGGATATTCGAATTACGCTCGATGTCATCACTTCCTCAATGTATCTCGATTAGTCTCTCTATATTCTTCTAAGTGGAATATATTCTTTTGCTTATCATGAATCCCTATTGGGTAATTGAGTCAATCTTTTCCTTTTTCATTGGTCTATTATGAGAGAAAATGAGCTAGCGAGAAAGAGAGGGGGAGAGAAAGAAGAAGAAGAGCAGAATATTTAGCTTGTTTTCCGGCAAACGATTATATTTTTTTTAATTTTCATCTTTATATGTTAATCAACGTCGATTAATATATTAAAATGAAGAATTTTTCTGTACAATATTTACTTTCACATAATGATAATAAAAAAGATATACCACCAGTAGTACAAACAACAATTACATCAAATACATTAAATGTTAATTCATCAGATGATGTTGGTAAGAATATTTAATAAGATTCTTAAAAAACAAAAGGTTTTTTTCCTTTTTTTTTGTCTATTATTTGTTCATTTAGAAGATGATAATCATTCATCTGTTCCATCATCTTATTATGATTCATCAAATGATGATGATGAACAACAAACATTAAATAGAAATCCTCTTGATAGTAGTACAACATCAGAAGATAGTGAAACATCAAAATATCTTCAACAAGAACATATACATCATCATGAAACATCAAAAAGACGTAAAAGACGAGTTCTATTTACTAAACAACAAACATTTGAACTTGAACGACGTTTTCGACAACAACGTTATTTATCTGGTAAGAAAAATTTTTAATTCAATATTTTTGTTTTTATTAATTATTTTTATTTTTTCATAGCACCAGAACGTGAACATTTAGCTAGTGCAATTAATTTATCAGCTACTCAAGTTAAAATTTGGTTTCAAAATCGTAAGAAAAAAAAAATCATTTTTCATGAAAATAAAATAAGAATTTCTTTTCTTTTTTACTAGATCGATATAAAATGAAACGTTCACGTCCTGACAAAAGTAAGATTATAATTATTTTTATTTATTTTTATTTATTTTCTTATGAAAGGTTTACTTGATACAACAATATCTACACCTCGACGTGTAGCGGTTCCCGTACTTATTCGAAATGGTCGACCATGTCATCAACAACGTTTTTCTCTCCCATCATCATCATCATCATCAACATCAACAGCAGCCGTTTCTAGTCAACGTATTCATGGTCAATCAATAATAAACAGTAACAGCTCATTAGTCGAAGCATCATTATCATGCAAGAATGATACTCCTCCCAGTATATTATTTAATGACAGACAACATATGAAATGTGACAATATTGATTTATTCCAACAGTTTATTCTTTCACAATGGGCACTTTCAAAAAAAATATTTTTTCCAACAACTTAAATGAATATTGAAAAGAAACAAAACAGTTATTAAATATTTGCCATAAATTATCTTTAAGAGTTTGGTTTTTTTTTTGGTTTTATTTGTTTGTGTTTTATTAGAAATTTTATATTATTATTATAATTATTATAATTATTATTATTCGAAAAACAAAATCTATCCTTTCATGACGTAATAAAAGAAAACAAGTGTATTGATTGACATTGAATTTTTATAAGAGTTAATTGATTTTTAACAAGAAAAAAAAAAAAAGTTAAAGTTTTCAATTAATCACACCAACATAAGTATTATCTTCATTTCGGATAAAGATCTAATTAAGATAATCAATGATTTATATAAGAAATATATCTTTGATCAATCAATATAAATTAATCTTGCAATGAAGTTTTACATTTGAAGAATAAATATATTCTATTATATAGACTAAATGACTTTAATAATAATATCAAAATGACCTAAGTTATTTGACTCAGTGCATCATTATTCTATTTTTAATTGAAACTATTTTTATACATGGATAAACCTGGAAGGGAATAGTTTTGAATAGTATTAAAATAAGTTTTCTATAAAGAATAGTAGTCCAGAAATTATCAATCTACGATATCTACTTCAGTGCATCGTTATTAGATACAACTTCTCTAATCATAACGCTTCAATGAAAAACAAATAAAAAGTTGGTTTGCGAGAAGAAAAGCATAGTTTTCTTTTGTCATGTTCTTTGTAAGGAATAGAGCAAAAGTTTTGCTCACATTTTTGAAGATCTTGTCAAACTCTAAATCGATTAAAGAATTCATAAAAGATATATTTTGTCTTGTTTAGATGAGAAAATTCTAATAAAAATTATCTAGAATTATTTAACAAATCAAGTCTCCTACGTAATGACTGTCAGCTAATCTTTTTTGATCCTAAAAATGATGCAACTACTAAAATAGATGTATCATTTTTATGTAACCTGAATTAGTTTTCATTTTCGTATCGTGAGAAGCTTTGATCATTTTTTACAAGTTTATCGTGTACTTTATGATCATTTAGTTGTTCTCTAACATGAAATCTTTCTCAAGTATTAAAAGAATTCTTTTTGTTTTCATTCTATTTACAGTTTTTAATGATCAATATCACAGAATGTGCTGATTAAGAATATCATATTTTGTAAAAACAAGTGGACGAATGAGAATGAGACTTGGAACATTTTTGGAAGATCCGAAAAGATCAGTTTTTTTTACCTAATTGAGCATCACAATACACATTTAGAATTCATTTAGAATAAACTCATTTGATGTAGAAGTTTTTTCTCTATTAGAATCTATAAGAACTTTCAGGAAGATAATCATCGAATACCATGTCTTAATCTAAATAGGTGAATCAGTATGAGTTTTACCTCGCAAATGTAATTTGATAACCTGTTTTTAATAAAATTACTTTTATGACTCTACATTCATCCCATGTTCTTTATTAGAATATTCTAGAAAAAAATTGGATTTTTAGCATAACACCATTGTCTCGACGTCGAATTTTATGCTGAAAATATTTTTATTAGAAAGAGAGTATTGAATTACATTAGTGATATAAAAATTATACTGATTCACTCATCTAGATTAAGGCGTAGTATTCGATAATTATTGTCGAAAACTATTACAGACTCTGATAAAGAAAGAAAAACTCTGCATGAAATGAGTCTATTTTCAATGAATTCTAAACACGTATCGTAATGCACTGTTAGGTGAAAAAAGTGATTTGTTGAACTTTCCAAAAATATTTCAAATCTCTTGTTTATTCCTCGACTTGTTTTTCAAAAAAATGATATTCGTAATCAGCACATACTATCGTATCGATCATTAAAGATTGTAAATAGAACGAAAACAAAAAGAATTCTTTTAATATTTGAGAAAGACTTTAGTCAGAACAAAACTGGATAATTATAAAGTACACAATAAAGTTGTAGATAACGATCAGAGACTTCTCACGATACGCAAGTGGAAACTAATTTTTGTTATATAGAAAATGATACATCTATTTTGGTAGTAGTATCGTGAGTAGAACCAAAAAAAAAATTAGCTGACCGTTCGTATGTAGGACACTCTTGTTTTATAAAAGAATACTAGATATTTTTGATTCGAGTTGCTTAAGTGCGTATTCTGTGAAGAGATATTTTTCAAGTCTTGATCATAAAATTTTTCCCGAAGTATTTTTGAATATGTGAAAGCCTTTTTTTTCACATATATTTCACATGTTACGTTAAACTGAAGGCTAAATTATATGTAGTAAATTTTGTATCCTTTGTTTTCCATAAATGATTATCTTATATACTTTTAATTGTCGAATATGACACAATCACTATTATCAATTGTTGAATTTTGGAATTTGTCATTAGAAGTACATGAAATAATGCTCGTATAAGAACTTATGCATATAATTAATTTATTCTTCACAAGACCGACATAATTTGATGATAAGAATTTACCAACCAATTCTCGATTGAATTACACAATAAACTGGATGAAGTTTTGGTATTTATAAATATTATGTCATCTTAATTGATTTTCGTAACCATTGTCATTTTTCATTCAATTGTTAAGTATCTGATGTTAAATTATCTCATTTGGATATTGACAAAAATAAGAAGATCTTAATTCCCATTTAAATATTTTTTGATGAATTATAAATCTGGCATATCGTGGTGGTCTAATTAGATGTAAATAAAGATCAATCTTAACAGCATTTTCTATATGATCTGTGTCAATAGGTGTATCTTTCTGAGTATCAAATTCATTATTTTCTGATTAGCCACTGGTAATTTCACATGACAATTTCAAGTTGACTCATCTAAGTATTTATATTAGGAATGCACCAATTCCAATTCAATTCTTGACTTGGAATTGGTCGTAATTTTTTGGAATTGGAATTGGAATTGCTGCACTCCTAATTTATATAGATTAGCATAACCAGTACAAACACTTTTTCTCGATGGAAATACTTCTACTGATTAATCAACATCAGTTTTTTTCCTGAATATGATACAATATCAATTTGAATATTATGCATAACCTAGTGGAAAATAGTTCGATGACGATTGATCAAAGTTTTTTTCCCTTTGAAAATTTTTTCATAGTCTCAATGGATTTGGTGTAGAATGCAGAAAAAGAAACTATTAAATAAGGAAAACAAGAGCAAGAAAAATGCTAAAAGGATACATCAAAAGATCCGATGTTGAAAATGAAGTTTTCCTATTCTATTAGTATGAACAAAAAGAAATATTTTATAAAACCAGATGAAAACAACAATCGAAGAGAAATGATAAACTAGATGATTGTTGTAATTTAACGAAGAGATTGTATTTTGATTTATCAATTGAAAAATATGCTCAATGATAAAGATGACAAGATTTTGTTTGACATTATTCAAGACGTTGGATTCTATTGAGTAAACTGTTGTATATGTAACGATTCGCAAAGTTCGATGAACTTGCTACAAAAATTTAATTTTAGCTTTTTAATAATGGAGGAAATTGTCTAGAAGCTTTTTTGAAAACCTAAACATCTTTTACAAGTCTATTATTAATTCCGAAAAAAAATGATGCATTGACAGTTATAGGATATAGATGTGGATGTCCTGATATTGTCGAAGAGAAGACTCTCACCCATTCACACCTTATCTTCTTCAGACTTTATTGATGAAAGATGAAATATAGTATAACACACGCATATTTTATTTTTCTCTTTTGCTTTTCTCTTATTAGTGTAACCTTTGGTAGGAAGTCGACAACAAAGCTGTCAACAGGCTACTTTTTTTCGGCCTGGCCTGGTCTGCAGACTTTTGAGAGAATAGAACAGCCTTATTGAATATTTTTAGTAGATTCGTGAAGGTATTTGTACAATATGCGTTAAACATTTTTCTTGTTCCCTCATGTTAATCTCAATCGCATATTTAGTTCTTCTCAATTCAGATGATCAAAAGACAAAGTCTTCCACTAAATAGAAAATCAAAACATATAGAGCTGGACGAAAAATACAGTCTTGTTTATACAAAGAACTATGCTTTCAAATCAGTTCTAATTCTATCAGTGCTGTTTCATCACATTAAAAAATGTGTATCATCAGAAAGAAATCATACAAACCAAAAAATAGAAAACACTGTTAATGTCGGTCAGAAAAATTTATTTCTTATTGTCGTTTACTGAATGATATCGAGTTGAATTGCATTATTAGTCATCTACATTCTTGTTATGTATTCATTTTCCTTGTCTATTGGGACACATTCTAGCTGAATCATAAGTTCACGTGAAACTGCAAACAAAAGCAAACTAATCTGTCATCAAGAACAAATGTAGCCATTTGAGTTGACTTAAACTCCCAGAGTTTGGTGACACTTTGAACCTTCGCGGTTAATACCAAAGTAAAATGTATGAGGTAATTTAATATCACTAATATACACCACTGTCATTCATTACAGGATTCAGTGAGATGATACATGCACAATTTTCTTGAAGACAAGATTCGCATGAAATGATGGAAACTGAAGGATGCAAAAGGTGGTCGTCCTAACTTTAAAGCATGTCATTTTAACATTGATTATCAAAATTTAAAGTAAAACTTTAACTTCAACAAATTTACCCAAGCAATTTAAATTTACAATACCACTTCTAATCAGAATCAATCAATATACAATAGTTTGACTAGGTGTCATCCAGGTGACAAACTTCGACCTGACCTAACGCGCAGTTCAGGCTAATATCTTAAACTTCGACCTGGTCTGACAAACTATCAGACCAGGCTGGCAGCTCTGGTCGGCAAGACGTGGTGGTGACTGGTAAAAGTAACTTCTTCTTATCCTCTTCTTCCGATCCACTATCAAAAACTACAATCACAATAGAAAAGAAAAAAGGAACCAAAGAACAATAAAGTGTATATGCTAAAGAGTACGTTTCATTTTCTATCAATAGTGTCAAAAAAATGTACATTGACTATCGAGGCGTCACGAAAAAAGAACAAAAGAACATTGTACAATGACTAGAAAAATATTTATCAACCATGAACAAATAAGTTGCTTGTACAAATGATTTAGATAAATTGGATAATTCATTTAGATGAATATTTGTTTCTTTTTATAATATCATAAGTTTCGAATTTTTTTTCTTATCTAAAATTTTGAAAATGATTGTCAGTTGATTATCATGTTTTAGCTTTCAAATATGAACTCTGTTTAATGACAAATGTATAAATAAATAGAAAGATAGTACCAATAATTTTCTTTTTTATTTCAATAATGAATTATATTGAAAAAAAACTAACATAAAAGAGAAAAAGAATAAGTTACCAATTGGAATAAAAATATGAATATTCTGGTTCGACATATCGAATAGGTCGAGAAAATTGACGTATTAATGGTTGATTAACATAACTGTGTCGTGAAATAAGTATCGGAGTTCGAACTGATATTTGTTCTATTACTTTTCTATTTCTATCATAATTCAACGTTGTTGAACTATCATGTTTTTTCTTTTTTTGTTTCTTCTTTTTGTCGTCAGTAATTAAATCGGCTCGTTTTGGAAGTTGTGGCGGTTGAAGAATAGGTAAAAATCTTGGAGCAGCCACAGAACGACGATTAGATAAAATACCGGAAGCTGCGAGATTTGATGATGATGATGTTGGTCGACGTGAAAAGTCTTGATATGTAACAGTGACAAAAGACATTTTTATCAAAATGCACAGACTGTAGACTAACTATCTATCGTTGAGTAATAATACTTATGATGTACCATCTGCTACGTTATTATATTACACGTGGGAAAAAATACCTGACCTATTGGAAAATATGTCATGCGTGACAATATCGTTATAGTGTTGTACGTCAATAGAAAAATTAATAGCGCATTTTTATATGCATTCGTGCATGACGTATCCTAGAAAAAAAATATGAATAATGACGTTTAAAAAAATTTGTTTATCAGTTATTTTATCAAAATATAAAACAACCAAAGTCAAGTTTTACATCAACAGATTGCTACTTTCACAGATTTTGAAAAGATGAATTCACGAATTTTTGTTTTGTTCAAGTAATAAATACTAAAAGTTCTGTAACCTATGGCTAATATTTATCAAGAGATATAGATCAATAAAAGACGGTATTATACAAAGTTTTAGAAATGCTGTTTGAATCAGATACATATACTAGGTAAAGTTTTTGAATATTTTTTGTAAACTATTATCAAATTATTCACTGTTAAAAAAACGAAGAATTCATATTCGTATCTAACTCATTATGTTTCAATACATGTTTATTTCGAATTGACAACACATTTTCTATTTCCAGTCATGAATACATTTCTTAAACATTAGATTAATCAAGATGTAGATGTAAATCATATTTTCTAATTTCATTCTATAAAAAAATAAATAATAGCAGAGTACAATTGTGATAGAAGCTTCTTTTTTAAAGATAATCATTATCCTGTTCAATGATTATTTGATAACAAATATGTTGAAGATAATGAATTTATTTATGAAAAACCAAGATGATTATTTTAAATTTTACCATTAATTAACAAGACCATTTTTTTTTAACTATATGAATTATATTATAATTTTGTTTTTTTGACAGATTGATGATTCAGTGAAAATTTTTTCTTTCTTTTCGATTGCGAAAGAAAGAAAATGTGAGTAAGAAGAATACGTAGAACAAGACATTTATTTTGTCATTTCTTAAGTAAATAAAAATTAGATATTTTATTCATTCGAGTAAATAAATGACTATCTGAAAGTACCATTTTGTTGAGATATTTTATTTCGTCATCTATGTCTTTATAACAATCAATAGTGAAAAATAACGAATTATTGAAGAATTTTTCTATTTCTAGAAGATATTTACTTATAATTCATATGTAAAGGGTATTGAATAAAAGGATGAACACGTACTCTAACAAGTAGCAAAACTGCTCGAATTGGTATTACGCCACATAAAGAAAGAAAAAAACGTATGCCATTTTATAAATTAAGTAATAATAAAAGAACAAATATCATCAGAAGTTTGTTTATCTTACGCAATTTACTATTTGTATATATATGTATATGACATTATTATAAACCGTAGGTGAAAAAAAAAACGGTTACCTGAGAAAAAAAACGATATGATGCGTAACAAAAAAATGATGTTTTTTGTAAGAAAAAGCGAATTCAATATCTCATTAATTAATACTGATCTTTACAGAATAAAAAAAAAACGAAGAGCAAATGTTCGTCTATAGAAATACTGATAAATGAAGAGCTCTTATATTTTGAGTATGTTTGCTTATATGAAAAATTATCGTGAATATTTATATTGTTCCTATTTCGTTTTTTTTTTTCATTAATGTATTCGATTTATCAAATATGTATGTTAGAAATCAAAAAAAAATATTTGATCTACATGAAACAGGTATTATTTAATCAGATTGAGTTATCGTTTTTTGGCACAAATTGAAATTCATTTTGCAAATTGATTTATCAATGAGTTTCATATTGTGTCGAAATCGATTAATTCAAGAAATACTATCAGTTTTATTTTTAACATAATATCAATGAAAACTTTTCCAGACAATTTTATTTGTTTTGTATTTTGTGTAACATCGTTAGATCAAATTCATCCACTTTATGTCTATGTTATTCAACTTGGATAAGTGCAAAGATAATACATGTGCATTAATCTATGAGAAAGTCACGTTCGTTCTATTTTATTTTCACTAATACATGAAGAAAAGCTGTTTACATCATGAAGATTATGTAGCTCAACTATCACATACTGATCTATTTACTTAACTATTCTCATAACTGATGAGTATACGTCTCGAGACATATATATATGTCAAAAGGCAGTAGACCGTTTTGTTTGAACCAGATTAGCTACCGTTCAAGTATTGTTCTCATATAACAAATGTAGAAGCTTATATGTCTCTTACGAAAAGAATGAATTTGACTTTGGTAGATACATATATGGAGAGTGGACTACTGAGCCTATCTGAGCTGCTTACATTTCTCTTTTGTTACATGTGTAAAAATCTGATCTTGTATAAATATCGTCGTTTTATCAATATAGAATATATGCAGTTGCGTCAGCTTAAGCACCATACTATTCAATTATTTGAGAACATTCAATGCAATCGTACAGAAGTACTAAGATGATAATGATGATTATGCAGATTGAGACAACGAAAAAAATGCATAACAAAAAAAAAAAGAATGGCATAGAACAATAGGAGAGGAGGCGAAGGGATCAAATGAACTATAGTCAGGATTTAGAGAAAAATGAATTAGTAGATGCAGAAATAAAAATGTGCACACATACACAATTTGTTTTCCATTAATCATTTTCACAAGTAACATTTCTACTCGTTGAGAGTAGAAGAAGAGATATATATTCAAGCCAGGTCGAACAAAATATTATACATAGGAAAAAAAGAGAAAAGACCTAGAATCTTTTTCTTTTTTTTTATTTCTAACAAAAACAATGCTGACTAACTATTATCAAATATTTTTTTTTACAAGTAAGTTATCGTGTCTTTTTCTTTTGTTTTATATATGCAATCTATGACATTGACGCATATTTATGTATATATATGTCAGAAATGTCATTGAAATATTGATCCGTATTAAAACTACGATTGATCATGGTCATTCGTTATTATTCTTATTAGTAAATGTCCTCGAAAGCAAGTTTGGTCTTCTAAGATTTTATTCAATTAGTGATAAAAAATGATAATCTCTTTGGCTATTCTTTGAATAATTGATATACAATGAATAATGAAATATAATGTATATTTACAAGGTTATCTTTCCGTGTACATATTTTATGAGTGACTTTTTTTTATATATTTGATTATGGATTTTAGTCTTTCTTTCTTAGTTAATTAATTTAACAAACAAAAAAAATCTAGTCCACCTGTACACTAATGAGATAGAACGAAAGTTAATTGAAACATTGACATGATTGATGCATAGACGGCCTAGTTAGAAATATGTGTGTAAAAGTACTACTAAGATTGGGCTCGTCAATATTTACATCACGAACAAAATAAGAAAGCAACTAATTGTTGTAATAGTAGTGGACACAATCGAGAAAAAAGAACAAGGAAGACAAGAGAAATCGGTATGCATTGTGAACACGTCTTACGTGTTACACATTTGATCAATAAATATGAAGGAGTGACGGACATAAAAGGTCGGATTAAGACGGCGGCGCCGTATTACTCAGAAGAACGTGATGTAATTGGAGATCATCGGGCGCGCAAAAAGCGAACAATATCTTAGTGGTCGTGTGTAATTGCTCGATGGCGCGTCACGTACGCAATATATGTAATATAGAATACCTAGGAATGGTACGGAAGGTCAGCAATGAACGACTTAAGTAACAACGAAACGAGAAAAAAATAGATTCAGCGCGAACATCAAATTCCTTTTCGTGTGTCTCTCCAATTAATTTCTTTACTTTCCCTCTCTCTTTAATCCTTCTTCACTCACTTTGTTAAGAAAAAGTGAGTGAGAGAGAGAGAGAAAGAGATAGAGAAAGAGAAAGAGGTAACTGGTTGGTGGTATTTGACAGTGAATTAGAAGAAGTGACTTTACCAATGGAATTCGGTCGACTAAGAAGTGGGCGTTAGAGATAGAGATTGAGAAAGAGAGAGAGAGAGAGAGAGAGTAAAAAAAAAGAAATAGAGAGAAGTAATAGAGAGATCTGTGTCAATCAGTAATTTGTCAACTTGCAAAGTGAGCGACAGCTGAGCTCACGATCACTCAATTTCATTTTTTGGTCTTTTTAAAAGATATATATTATTTATTCTATGATGAACCGGAAGTACATCATCGGTAAGTAAACGGAAATAATATCTTAATAAAACATCGATAACTATATGCATATGTATATATATATATATATATGTATTTAATAATACAGGTCTGCTAAGTGTTTTATCAGCAATAACAATTTATTTGCCTGATGAAGTAACATCATTTACTCGTTGTCCTGAACGTGGTACAACAGAATTACCAACAATATCTTATTATCCGGACGAGAAATTTTGTAATGTATATCATAAATGCAATTGTTCTTTTACGGATTGTCGTGTAGTCGAATCTCATGTTTGTCCAATTGCAAAAGTTTATTCAAAAACTAAAGCAACCTGTTTAGGTTTGTAAATGAAAAGTTTATCATTGTTTACTTCATAACAAACAAAAAATATTTCTATTCTATTTTCAAGATATTGAAGAAGAAGGTTGTGAATCAACATATGTACAATGGGTACAAACACATAGTAGTAATACTGATGAAAATGATGGTAAAGTTGCTATTATGGTATCCGATTCTCTTCTTCCATCAACAACAAGTAAAGATTTTGAATGTGAACAAGGTCAACCAGGCAAATTTAGGTAAAAAAAAAACTCATTAATTCTTAAATTGTAATTTGTTTATATATATATTTTTTTTAAATAGTGATCCAAATATTTGCAATATATTTCATGTATGTATAACTCGAAATGAAAAAACCGTTGATCAACCATTTATGTGTCCATATCCAACTGTATTTAAAACTGGTCCATCAGGAAAAATGTTTTGTGCACGACCTGAACCAAATGATTGTCAAGGTAAAGCTTTCTATCGTACAATGGAAGGATCAACAAATATGGTAAAAAATATTCAAAATGATAATGATGATGCAACTAGTTATCGTTTACCTGAAAATACTCTTATAATTGAAAAATGTTTAAAATCAGGTTTATATCCTGATAGTCTTTATTGTAATGCTTATCATAAATGTACAAACAAAGGTGAAGATGAACAATATTTATGTGAAAATCAATTATTATTTAATCCTGAATCGAATATTTGTGATTATCCAATAAATGTCGTTTGTGGAGGTAAGAAAAAAAAATATTAAACCAGTTCGATTAAAATATTGATTACATAATCAAACATAAAAAAAAAAAGATTGACATTTACATTGATTAAATTCAACTTTTTAGGTAAAGGTTTACTTCGTCGTCCAACAGGTTTTTCAAATGGTACACTTGTTAATTCCTCATATATAATGGTATATGGTACTGAATTACGTCCTGATTGTCCATCACATATATCAAATGTTCTTGTTGCTGATGTTAATTATTGTAATGTTTTTTATCATTGTCAATCAGGTCGTGGTTCTGTTTATATGTGTCGTGATGGAACAGTATTTGATTCATTAAATCAAGAAGGTGTTAGTTCATGTCGTTCAGAAGATTTAATTGATTGTGGTAGTCGTTTAATTTTAACTTCACAAGGTAAACGTTTATCAATATATAAAAAAACTGATAGACCTGTATCAAATGTGAATTTATTTGGTATGGATAATAATTATTTAAAAGAACGAAAAATATCATTTAATCATATTAATCATAATAATCATAATAATAATTATAATAATAATAATAATAATAATTATAATAATAATAATTATAATAATAATAATAATAATAATAATAATAATAATAATCTTAATCCACAATATTCAAATTTTATATTATTACCACCACCAATGCATAATCAAAAAGTTGTCGTTGATGTACCATATGATTGTAAAGGACGTATTGATGGTCATTGGCGTGATACACGTTATTGTGATGTATTTCATGCTTGTATTGCTGGTGAACAAAAACGTTCATATGGTTGTAATCAAATAGGTGAAAGATTTTATTTTGATGATGCATCACAAAAGTAAAAAACAAATAAAAAATTTTTCAAAGAATTTTATTTTTACAAAGTTTCTTGTTTTATTTAGATGTGAATTTGTTAGTAGAAATTTAAATGGTTGTCAATCAAATCAATATTATACAGCAATTGAACCAATACCATCTATACCAGGATCACAATTAAGTACAGGTCAGATAATTAATTTTATATGATTCAAGAAAATTCATAGACGATGTATTTTTGTTTTTATTTTTCTAGAAGCACCAACAGAACCATGGAAAATATTTATTCACTCACGTGAACAATTTACTTGTTCAGGTAAACTAACAAATAATTTGTTTTATAATAAAAAAAAAAAGAAAGAAAAACCATTATTTCTCTTGTATCAATAGGAAAACAAGATGGTTTCTATGCTAGTCGTTGGTGTAATGTATTTTATCGATGTTATACAGGTATATCTAGTGCTTTTCTATGTCCAAAAATGCCAAGTGGTGCTCGATTATGGTGGGTACAACATGGTTCACCGCAAGGCGTCCCACAAGAAACAGCTGCTTGCACATGGCCATGTGAAACAGGTCGACGATGTTCAAGTTCAGGTGGAATTATTGTTGATTCAGGTTCAACAGTTGGTGAAAGTCAACAAGAAGCTGAAACTGTTTTTTCACAATCACTTTGTACAACATCATCTTCATCCTCCTCCTCCTCATCATCATTGGGTGGTTTTGTTCCAGGTATAAGCTCAGTTGGATCGAATAGTGGTGCTTTTATGCCACAACCACCACAAATGACTGGTGGAACATCAAGTTCAGGCGTTAGTGTTAGTAGTAATATGCTTCCTGGTGTTGGAACAACGGGAGGTGGAGTTGGTAGTATGCCAAGTGGATCATCATCAACTTTGGGTGGTAAAAATTCATAGAGATTAGACAGAGAGAGAGAGGATTTCAAAAATTGATTTGTTCTTGTTTTTTTTTTGTAGCAACATTTGCTGTTGATTCGGATGTAAGTTGTATTGGACAAGCTGATGGTGTTTTTCTTGCAAGTCGTTATTGCAATATATTTCATCGTTGTGTTAGTGGTACTCGACGAGATTTTCGTTGTCCTCGTGCCACAAATACACCATATGATCTTTGGTGGAATCAACAAACTCAACAATGTGATTGGCCATGTAAGTTTTATATTTCTAAATTTAATTAATTAATTTCAATTGAATTTTAGGTCGAATTCAATGTGCTACTTCTGTTCATGGTACATCAACATCAGCACAACAAGTTCGAACAGAAAATGCTCTATTATTTAGTAATGAATGTGCTGGTTATCAAATTAATTTTCATTCACAAGCTAATACTGGTATTCTCAATAGTCAAGCAATGGTTTATTCATCAATTCCTCATGAATCTGAACCAATACGTAGTTCAATGTCAAAATTAATTGAAAATCCTGATCCAAATTTTATATGTACACAACCTGGTAAATTTCCAACACGACGTTATTGTAATGTTTATTATGAATGTTCTGATACGGGTTTACCACCTATACAAACATATGAATGTGTTGATAGTTTCTTTGATCGTAGTCAAGGTTTATGTATGCCAAAGGATCAAGTACCATGTTTAGGTGGTATATATCCATATGATTCAGTTCCTATTGATCGTAATCCTGATTCATTACAATGTTCAATTAATTCTGGTTTTCAATTACATACATCAAGACAATTTTGTAATATTTATTATTTATGTGATGGTACACAAACAACACCAACAACATTTCGTTGTTTTGATCGTCAAACTCAACAAGAAGGTATTTATGATCCATTTGCTGAACGTTGTGATTCAAGACGAAATTCAAATTGTCAAAATGCTATATTAAATTTAAGTCATACACAATTATATCGTTCTGTATCTATTGATCATACACGTTTACCTGATTTATCAATTTTACCATGTAAATATGATCAACAATATGTTATTGAACATGAACAATTTTGTAATTTATATCATG